CGCCCCCCTGCCCGCCGTGTACCCCGTGACTCTGAGACCCCTCGCAGTGCACGTGGCAGGTACAGGGCACGAGCTGGAGCGGAGGCCTGATCTGCCAGCTCCACGGGGCCTGAGTCAGAAAACACGGACACTCCCTCCCCTGGAACCCTCCCTGCCAGCCAGGCCCCTGGAGCTCTGGGACCCGCGTCTGCTGTGTGACCCTCTGTCCGGCTCAGGCACCTTGGCAACAACTGCACTGTCTTATCGTCGCAGCTGAAGAAGCCCTGACAGACATGGTGACAGCATAGCCCCGGAGAAAGGGAGGTGCTGTGCCGGGCGGGCATCTCCCTGCCAGCTAGGCAGCCTGCAGCCTGGCACTCTCTGTGGTTGTCACTCCCGGCCGTGAGCCCCAGGGAAGCCGTGCATCGCTTGGAGGTCATTCCGCACGTGGACCAGGGGGCAGGCGATAGCACCTGCCTGCGGGCGGCGGGGGGCCAGGCAGGAGAAAGGGCAAGCGCCTGCGTGGGCCACGCGGACTGTACTCCCTGCCACGCGGACTGTACTCCCTGCCACATGGACTGTACTCCCTGCCACGCGGACTGTACTCCCTGCCACATGGACTGTACTCCCTGCCACGCGGACTGTACTCCCTGCCACATGGACTGTACTCCCTGCCACATGGACTGTACTCCCTGCCACATGGACTGTACTCCCTGCCACGCGGACTGTACTCCCTGCCACATGGACTGTACTCCCTGCCACGCGGACTCCGTCCAAGCCCGTCCTTCTCTAGGGCCCTGAGGCCGTGACCACTTGGGCTATGTCATCACGGAAACCACGGCAGCTGCTCGTCCACACCCAGCACGTGGAAGCCCCACTTAGAGGGTAGACGTGACTTCCCCCAAGTCGCTGAGTCACCAACAGGTCAGGGACACACACCAAGGCCCTGACCCAGAGCCCAGGCCCTGCAGCTGCACCTCCAGGTGCCTCCACTGAAATGGGCGTAACCAGCCCTAGAGTCGGGCAGCCAGCCCGGCCTTTTCCTGGTGCACAGAGGTCCCGAGGGCCGGAGCCTGGCACAGCCCGGCCTTTTCCTGGTGCACAGAGGTCCCGAGGCCGGTCGGAGGCCGGCACCACCCTCCCGTCGGCAGGCGGGGAAGGATGATGCGGCTACAGGCCATCTCTCCACGGGTCCCACCCCAGCCCGCTCTACAGCTGCAGAGGAGCCAAGACCACGGACGAGGGTGCACTCACTGGAAGGCGTGCGCCTCACGCCGGCGGCCGGCTCGGCCTTCTTGGGCTGGCTGCTCAGGGTCTTGCCTTTTCCTGCAGCCCCGCTGGATGCGAGGGGGGGCTTTTTACTCTTCAACTGTTGAAATAAACAGAAGGAAGTTAAAACAAACGATCCACAACACCAGTGTTTTTGTTCTGCGGGACACGACTTCCCTCTGTGACCCTATAAGTAGCATCTAGCACTGACAGAAAAACTCAGGGAGGCAGGAACAACCTGGCTCCCACACCCTGGGAGCTGGGGTGCCCCGGAGGCCGAGGTTCGGGCGTGAGGGACGCAGGGCGCCCTGGGCAGGAAAGCAGAGCTACATGTGCGCTGAGAGCTGCGATGGAGGTGGGCACAGGGGGAGCCGGGCAGCTGGGCTGAGACGCTGGGAGCCTGCGCTTCGGACAGGGGAGGCCACTGCAGCTGGTTTCTCTGCCAGCGCCTCCGTGGGGACTGACACCCCACTGGGCACATCACTACGCTTATTCACTGCAGGGTCTCAGGAAGGAAGCGAGAAAGGCGTGACGTAGAAACAGTTTAAACTAAATTTTGACCAACCACAGGCTTTTAAAAATTCCATAGCATCGCCACTTCTTGGGTGGCTGCAGGCCAGCAGGTGCATTTTCTCAGTGATGGACAGTTCTACGTGCAGACATGGAGCTGGCGGGAGGGGTGAACGGTGGGTGTCCAGGCCCACGCTCCAAGGTCGTGCCCGCCTCCTGCGCTGTGGGCCGGGCCTAAATTTGGCTCCGTCACTCAGCTGCTGAGCGCGCCACGACCCCTGAGCCCCCACTTAGTAACCACCGGACGTCTGACCGCCGCACTCAACGAGGCCGGAGCCACTGGCTCCCGCATCCGGCCTTCAGGCTCACTGGACAGACTCTGGGCAACTGTCGTCAAACATCAGAAGCAAACAGCCAGCTGGTGTGGCTCAGTGGTTGAGTGCTGACCCAGGAACCAAGAGGTCACTGAATAGATTCCTGGTCAGGGCACATGCCCAGGTTGTGGGCTCCATCCCCAGTAGGGAGCATGCAGGGGGAAGCCAATCAATGTTTCTCCCTCCCTCTCTCTCTCTTCCTCTCTCTCTGAAAATCAATAAAAACATATTTTTTTAAAAAAAATCAGAAGCAAACAAAAGCTGTGCTGTGATTCTGGCGAGAGCCTCGGCCGGGAGGACTTCTGAGTGCCACCCGGTCTGACATCCCCAGGGCTTCCCTGGCTCGTCACTGTGTAAGGGTTCCCCCAACACAGGGCACAGGGAGCAACCCCTCCCGTGCCCCTCTGCTCTGGGGGCGCTCGCACACACGGGCGCGGGGCTGCATGCAAAGCATGAAAGTCTGAGGCTGACAGAGCAGGAAAACACATCAGTATTTATACGGAAATGCTACCGTTTGCTACAAAGATGAGGTGGGACAGTCTGACAGCAAGGCTATTTCCCATTTAGGAACCGATAATCCCAATCCTCGTCACCTACCTGGGGTCAGGAAGCACTTTTATGCCCATTTGGGAAAAACACCGCAGTGTCCTGAATGAGCCTAGTTTATGTTTAAAGGTCAAAAAGCAGCTACTCCTGGGGCCACCTGTGCTGATGTTTAACGGAAACATTAAAAACACTTGCAGCTCAAGAATCCTCTGCCAAGTTTTACCGTCCTGGTCCTTTAAGTCTCTGCCTTTAGCAAAATTCCCGGGGAACATCCCGAGGCCAGAAAGAGCCGGTGTGCAGGGAGAGCGGGGCCCACAGCAGGGCCGGGAGGGGTACGGAGGCAGCTCCCCTGCCGACTGCTTTCCCAGGTGAGCCTCGCTCACTACCAGTGGGCATCACTGCAAAACTCGGAGGGGGGCTGTGGCTAGAGGGGGGTCTAGAGGAGGAGGGAACGCGATGCTGTACCTGGGAGCCGAGCCCGAGAGACGCCCTCCCCACAGAAGAGGTGTTAGTGACAGACGGGGCGGGAGGCAGCCCGCAGGACGTGGGCTGCTTGTAATGGTTACAGGACAGGGTGTCGGCAGGCGGCCTAGCAGCCTTCCTGTCAGCAGGCGGGTAGCGCGCAAAGATTTTCGGAGACGGCAAGTTATCGTACAGGGCTGCGTTATCGTACAGCACCTCTCCTCCCGGGCCTCCGCGGCAGGAAGCGGCCGAGCCGCCGTCGGGGTCCCACTGCAACACACACAGCCGCGCGGTTAGTGCCTCGGCCACAAGCAGAGCAGACGTTAGCGCGCGGACACGGCGTGAGCACCCGCACCCCCGTGCCCGCTGCTGTAAAGCACACGCGTCGCAGGCGAGCTGACCGCGAGGCCTGCCCCGCGTCCGGGACTTAGGGACAGCCTTCTCCTCCCTTGGGTCGCCCCAGTCGTTGGCTCAGGGAGTGTTTGTTCTGTCTGGTAAAGCAGGAAAAAAAGGGCTGATGTGACATTTCTTTAGGTTTCGGAGTCCCCAGGTCCAAAAGCAGAGCCACGTGCCTGCGGGGAAGGAATGCCGACGGGGACACGGGGATGGGGCTCGGGCTCTGCCCAGCACACCTGTGCAGCCCCCAGTGAGCACCTTTTACTTTGCGGTCATTACCGGGTTCTAGACGCTGTCTGGAGCACGTTACAAACACTGCCTCTAGCTCTCACGGGATCTCAGGAAGCAGGAGGAAACTGAGGCAGAGGCTCCCAAGCCCAGGGCCCTGCCTCTGTGCCCCACCCCCGCCCCGGGGTTACCGAGGGGCTGGACTTCAGAGCCCGGAGCCAGTGCATCGGTGACGCGTTTATGGGGACTGCCCGCCTGCCCCCTGCCCCCGCTCTGTTAGGGCTGATTAAAGTGCTGTGACCAAAACAGTCTTGAAAAGAAATCCAATCATCACAGAAAACAGGAGGTTTCCAAGTAGAATTGACATAATGGCACTATTTTGACGAAAACCTTTCCCTAAAGGACTAAAACAGCCACAGGCCACTGGAGGGCAGGGACATTAAAGTGCACATTCACCCAGCACTCAGCACGGCCGAGCCTTTTAAGTCTTAAAGGTCTCCAGGAACCGCTCTGCATTCACACACACGGAGAAATGTTAGCTCCTGGATGATGCTTGTTTCAGTCTTTATGTTGTTCTTCACTTCCGCACGGTGATTACAGCCTTTGTTATAAAAATAGGAGCAGGGCCCAGGCCTCACGGCAGGCGTGCTCTCACTCCTCACTGTCGCTGCAGCGGCTATTTTGGTGATGCTGGGACCCAGCTACGAGCTAAAAATAGGGGGACGTGCAGATAATCTCGGACGCGAGCGCCTCAAAATGACAGGCGCGCATGCATTTGTCCAGGGCGATCACAGGGTCTAGACTAGACTAGCATTTCCCTAAAATACCAAGTGACTGAGTCACACGGGTAACTTAGAAACTGCATAGAAGTTTCTAGATTAAAAGTGGGTGTGCTCCCCCGTGTGCGTGTCAGAGACCCTCCCCGAGACTCACTAACGCCTGCGTTGGGCCTCAGGGGACCCCGAATGGCTGAGAGTTACTGCAGATGAAACGCCAACAAGTGCGGTTTGGGGTCAAAAGTGCGAACTTCATAAACAGAGAAGAGCAGCCCTCCCCAGAGAGACGGCCTGGTCCCAGCCCCCAGCGGCGGGGAACTGGGCAGGGCAAGGCCGCTGCCAGGACGCCCCATGAGCCAAAGCACCAGGAGGACTGCACAGGGGACGCGTCCAGCTCCTGCCCACAGGGTCCCAGGACAATCCCTCCCGCAGAGCCTCTGTGCAGGTTCTCAGAGCAGAGGGGCTGCAGACGGAAGGACGGCCTGGAGCAACCTTGTCCCTGTGGGCCTGAGCTGCACCTGGACCAGGACAATGGGACAGGCTGGGGGGGGGGTGCCCGTGGCTCCCCCACCCCCACCCTCCTCACGCCCCGTGGCAGGTGTGGACTGGGGAAGGGGTGAGGGCCTTGGAGAGAGGCTTAGAGGGAGGTGTGGGTTTCCTTTCTGAACGAGCTGCCGGGATCAGGGCTGGAGACGCAGACCGCTCGCCCCTGGAGGGGACTCTGGCGGCTGCGCGGACAGGGCCAAGGCGGGTCAGGGGAAGAGAAGCTGGTGGCTGCGGGGCACGTGCGGCCGGAGAGCAGGGCCCACCTTGAAAACGGCAGTGACCAGGATGAGGCTCAGGACCGGGCTGTGAGCCTCTCCCTCGAGTCCATGGCTCAGCTCACCTGTGACCACCCGGAGGCCGGCACAGAGCCAACCAATAAACGGGAGTGATGTGCGGACACGTCAACACACGCTTATTGATGAGTTCTGCTATTGTACGTGGGACAAGGCAGCGAAAAGCTAAGGCCACACTGCACCTGCTCAGCGCCAGGCACCGGCCGGCTCTCCAAGGCCCCGGAGGGAGACGGTCCTGAGCCTGTAGCATGGCCCGCATCTATGGCAACATTTCCTCCCCCTCCCTCCCTGCCTCCCCATCTCCCCGCCTCCCTCCCTCCCCGCCACCTTCCTTCCCTGCCTCCCTCCCTTCCTGCCACCTTCCCTTCCCACCTTCCCACCTTCCTTCCCTCCCTCCCACATCTGCCTCCTATGGTGCCGCTCAGCATGTGTGCCCCGGGAACGAGGACTCCCTGGGAACTGACAGCGCTCCACACCTGGACTTACCCAAGGCTCGTGCTCTAACGTGTTCTCCTCAGTCAGTGCTTAGGGAGTGCGAACGTTTAATTATGACGGGACATGGACCCTGAAGGAGAAACTGCCTACGGGTGTCAAACGCCTACGTGTCCAAATGCAGATTAAGATGGACAACTTGTCAGAAACAAGGACAGGAGAGATGGGATGGAGCTGTCATCACGTGTCGGCCGATGTCCGACAGCGACCGCTCCCTGGGGCGCACACTCACCGAGCCGTTCACGCAGGGGGCGTCGTCGTAGTGCAGCGCCGTCCCGCTGGGGTGGGCATAGCCGTTGGGGGTGCCCCCGAGGTAGGGGTTGGTGGAGATGACACGTCTGTTCATGAAGCTGAAAGACAGGACGTGAGGTAACTCCTCCCACCGGGCAGCAAGTCTGGCCTGAGCCCTGACCTGATGCTCGGCCCATCAGAGGCTGTGCAGGGAGCCTCAGTGCCGGGAGGCGCTGGAGCCACAGCCGCACGCCCCACCTAGAGAACGCGAGGGCAGCACGCCTGCAGGACCGTGCCAGGGGGGGCCACCACCCTGCAGGACCGGGCCAGGGGTGGCCATAGTGGTGTGCAATACGACCCTGCAGGACTGTGCCAGGGGCGGCCGCAGTGTGTGCAACACGGCCCTGCAGGACCATACCAGGGGCGGCCACCACCCTGCAGGACCGTGCCAGGGGTAGCCGCAGTGCATGCTGGGTACACCATTCTTACCGTCAGTGGTCTAAAGACCTCTCTGGCCCACTGACTGTTTTTGTAAATAAAGTTTTATTGGGACACGGCCCTGACCCTTCATGTAGGTACCGACAGTGGCTGCTTTCAAGACTTTACATGCCTCCTTCATGACCCTGTCCTCAAGTCAGGGACCAGATGCTGCAAAACTGAAGTATTTCCCGTCCGGCCTGGGCTCTTTAGAGTTTTATGCAACAGCGTTTCTCGAGTTCTCGGTGTCCACTCAGCATCACCGCCCCGGACAGCTCCCCTCCACTCTGCCCCGTCCGGGCTGACGGAGCCCTGACAATGGGCGCCCCCTCTGCTCAGAGAACATCCAAAGCTGCCGCGTGGCCTGGGGGCTCTGGGTGCTGCTTCGTGTCCCCGAAAGTCCCACCAGGCGCCCTGATGGCTGCTCTCACAGGGCCTCCCGCCTCAGGGCCTCCCTCCGCCTGGAGCCCTCTCCAGAGCCCCTCCCTTCCCGAGGAGCCCCCAGCGCCCACACACACCGCCCTCCCCCCACACCACTGTCCTCCGGTCCCCTCTCCGTCCCGATCACCGCGGAACACGGAGCTACGCGCTCACTGGCTGCTGTCCCCGCCCGAGTGGATCTTCCCACTGACACCGGCCAGCTTCAGGGCCAACCCTGCTCGTCTGGGGACCGGGGCCCGGAGCGGCTCACAGGCGCGGAGTGAGCGAGCAGGAGGGTCACTGTGAAGGGACGCGTGCCTGGGAGGAAACCCCTGAGCTCGCTCTCCTGGCAGGTTAAGCAAACGGGCTGCGTCTTAAGTGACTGTTTTCCAGCGGTATTTCCCCGCATTCCTATGGCACCTGCATGAATAAGGAGAGAGGACCTGCCTGTGCGGGTTTCCAGCAGGGCTGGCGCTCACAGGGTCGAGCAGGGCTGAGGGCTGGGAGGCTCCCAGCTGGCAGGAGGCGTTCAGAGGGAGCTACTGCCCTCTGCTGGGGGCAGGCGGCTGTGCACGCCGCGCTCGGCCCAGCGCACCTGACTCTAATTTATAAAATCACTCCTCTTGCTTTTGTCTGACAAAGAAATGTATGCGGCCCTCTGCATTTAGGGCACATGAAGTGTGCCTAGGAAAGAGAGAAACTTAAACGTTTGAGTTTGCAATGACCGAGTTTTCTGATTTGTTTGTAATATATACCTAAGGGTTTCTCATTTATGACTCGGAGGGTGTGTGGGGTCAGGCAGTAACGGGAACGAGTGAGAAGCCGGGCCCAAGGCCAGTCCTTTCCGTGCCGACCACCGCACAGGGAGCATGTTACACGGATCTGCTAGGTGTCGGCCCTCCCGGTGGGGGACCCCTCACAGCAGGGCCGCCCGTGCGTGGTGTGTCTCCGGCTCTTGGCGCTGTGCCTGGCACTCACCGGGGCACAGATGCCAGGGAGGAGCAGGGGCCATGAGGGCCAGGATGGAAGCCGACCCGCCTGGGGGACGCCGAGGGCACCGGACACCGGGACATGAGACCGAGACGTCAGACACCAGGACGTCCCGGCTGGAGCAGGCCTTCACCACACCCACCTCCTCCCACAGCGGGCACTGGGCCCAACCGGTCTGCAGGCCTAAAGGGGACGGGCCGAGGCTCAGCCCTGCGCTGTCTTCCACCGGCGCCCTGGCTGCTACAGCAGCTCAGCCACACTGAGAAGCAGGAGACCAGAGGCCACGAGCCACGTGCTGAACCCAGAACACGAGTCGCTCACAGGAAACACATTCTGGGGGAAATAACCCGACACAGAAGTTCCTCTCCTCACCACTGCCCAGTGCCCAGGGCAGGCCATCAGGCACTCACACTGTCGTGCAGCCGTCCACCGTCATCTCCAGAACTTTCCACCTTCCCACTGACACTCGTCCCCATTAACGTACTCCCTCCCTTGCCCGGCCCCAGGACCCACTCTATTTCTGTCCTGACTTTCCCACAGAGCAACGCGAGTGAGAATGAGTGCTTTCTGCTGGGGACCCTCTCGCTTTGCTGGCGATCGCCGGGCAAAGCTGTCCCAGGCTGGTTCCTCACACAGGCTGCTTAGCCCGGACAGAGGCGCCTGACGCCTCATGCGACCAAGCTATCTTCCCTCAGCCCCAGCGTGTCCCGGCCGAGCGGCCAGGGCCCACAGACTTTTATAGGAAAAGTCAGTCTAGTGCAGTGGTTCTCAACCTTGGCTGCACCTTCGAATCACCTGGGAATTTTTAAAATCCTGATTCCTGGGCCTCATCCTCCGATAATTCTGTTTCTTTGTTATGGGGTGAGGCCACAACATTAATAACAAAGAAAAAGAATTTCTGGAGGATGAGGCCCAGAAATCAGGATTTTAAAAAGATTCCCAGGTGACTCTAATGTGCAGCCAAGGTTGAGAACCACTGGTCTAGTACTTCATCAGAGACATCCTAGCGAGTCCAGCTGTTCTTCCACCGCCAGCGTGGCGGTGCCGAGGCCACGACAGCAGGGCGCCTCTGCCGGTGCCCCGCTGCGTCGACACCTCTGATGCCGATGGTGCGACAGCAAGAGGGAAACTTCTGGACGCTGCCAGGGCCTGCACCCCGGGGCCTGTGGGCGGGGCTTTGAGAACTGCAGCTATAACTGCCTTTGCATCGATACGTTAAAAAAATTCATGGTTCAAAGACCGTTCTTGTATGAACAGCCTTTTTTAAAAAATGACAATTTAGATTGTAAAGGAACGTGATTAATGGCTTCAAAGACAGTCCTCACTACAGCAACGTGTAGAATCACTTCTGATTCTAGATTGTTCCCCCCACACACGGGTCAGCAAAGTACAGCCCACAGGCCGCATCCGGCCCACTGCCTGTGCCTGTAAATCAAGTTTTACGAAACCGTTAGCCCACTCGTTCCTGCCCCTGTGGAGCTGAGAGGACAGGGAACAGCGCACAAAGCCAGATGGTGACTAGCTTGCTTTTTACGGGAAAAGTCGGCCAGCCCTGTTCTGAGAGAAAAAACGAGGGTTAGAAGGACAGGGCTTTCACCAACGTCTGGGTGAACATGATGCGAAGGCAGCGTCTTCGCTGTTTTCCCGACAGCCCAGGAAGGGTAAACACTTAGGAAACAGCGCGTTTGCCCGGCGCCCCGCCCGCGGGCCTTACCAGAAGGTCTGCTTGGCCGTTTGGATGATGTTGGCCGACATCTCCACGTCGATGTAGTCGTAGTGCAGGGCGCCGGGGTCTGTGGAGGACCCCGTCTCCGCCAGCAGGACTCCGATCCAGCGGCCCATGTCTTCTGAGGACGCCGCCTGTGCGTGAGGGGAGGCGCGTGTCACTTGATTAGGGAAGAGTTTCAACAGGTTCAGGGTGTCGGCACAGAGACCACACAGACGGGACGGCAGGGTCGAGGCTCGTGCGAGTAAGTCGCGGAGGAAGGGGAGGCTGCCGAGCCGCGGGACCCGCTCTGCGTTCAGCCCGAGCCTTGAAGCCGGAATGACTGGACCCAGGACGTGGAAACCTGGGTCCTGCAATGCCGGCCGCTCTGGGGGAAGGGCACCGGGGTAGGACGTGGGACCTGCTGTGCTAGCTAAGGCTCAGCCAAATGAAGTTGCTGACAGCGCCTCGCCAATTTGACAACAAAACCCGGCCCGGAAAAGCGCCGCCGCCTGCACTGGCCCAGCCCCAGGACAGGGCTGGCTCCCTGTGGGCCTCGGGCTCCCGTGGCCGGGCCGGGAATGCACTTCCTTCCCTTCAGTGGAGGCATAAGCACGTGCTCCCCTCCTGTCGGCTGTGCTGAGGGGGTGCAATCGTGGGCAGTCCCCGGGCTGTGGGCGCCGTTTCTCAGGAAGTTTACATGCTCCCAACCCTGAATCTGACCTTCATTTGCAATCTGACTACAGCTCAGCCGATGCCCTAACCACTGAGCCCGCCCAGGGCCAAAGGGGAGGGTGGAAGCAGGCGGCTGAGGCTGTTTAAGGGCCTTTCCCTCTCCAGCGAGCCGGCTCCAGAAAGGCAGCCACAGGAATCAGCCGCACACGGAGCCAGGGCTCCTAGAAACCCAGGTCTCGGTGTCCACGCACGCGGCTCGCTGGCCGCGGCGTCTGCACACTCACTCCGCCTGGAGCCGCATGGGCCCCGCAGGACGAGGGAGGACAGCGCCCTCTGGAGGCCGTCACTGCGAGAAGTCCTACTGGGAACACTGAAGCAAGACGTGGCGGGGAGGCGACCAGGAGGTGCCGGGGCCCAGGCTCCTTGCAGGGCTCAGCAGAAGCGGGCGCAGGGCGCGGCCTCAGGAGGGGCCACCGCGAGGACAGCAGAGACAGACACATGGGCAGAGGGAGAGGGAGAAAGGGCGTGGCACAGCAGGCGCTGCCAGCTCAGCAAGGCGGGGACTCGGACATGCAGCGGCTTTGGGAAGGAAGGTCGTCCTACCTCCAGCACGGCCACCTCCTGCCCGTTGCGGAGCAGCCGGAAGGTCAGCGGGTGCCTGGAGTCCAGCCCCGGGATCACCTCGCAGCCGCGGAGAGGGATGGACACGAGGTGGGTCTTCAGGTCGGTCCTGTCCTTGTGCAGGATGAGCTTGTTGTCCTTGACCCTGCACCAGCGCTCCCGCCAGCGGTTGTTGGAGAGCACGTTCAGGTGGCCTGCGGCGACAGGCGGCTCAGCTCCGGGAGAGGCACCAGGGCGGACACCCACGGGACGGACCCCCACCGCGTCTCAGGCAAATTCACACACACAGCAGGCCGTCACCGGTGACAGCTGGAGAGCTGTGATTTTGAATCCAGTTGCGGATTCATAATCTTACATTATGATTTTATTCTGTAAAATACTATTTGTACATGACATATGTCTGATACATTTATTCTTTATAAGGAAGAAAGCTCTACTTAAAAGCCCACAGTCAGCCGTGAGGGCTGACCGGCTGAGCAACGGCGTGAGGACCACGAATGCCTGCCTGTGGCTTCGGCCCCATCTGCACATGAACCCTGCCGAGAGCCCACTTTTTGGACACTTGAGAAGTGACCGCCAACTGCAGCCATCGTCAGAGTCTGTGGGCATGAATGACAGTGGCCTGGGGACCGAGGTGGCGATATGTAAGGAGATCTGGAGACACGACTGCTCTTGAGCACCCGAAGCTGCTGGGGCACAGGGTGGCCCCTCCTGAGGGTCCTGGGCCAGCGCCCTGCCCTGGAGGGAGAGGCTCAGGGCCGTTCCTCAGGGGCCTTGAGGCGGGAAACTTCTCCAGCCGGGGAGGCCGGGGAGACCGGGGTCTGGCCGGGAGGGAGCGTGAGAAATGAACACTTGAACCACCTAGGGACCCAGTGACAGCCAACCTGGGACTCTGTCCTGGGAACCTGGCCCTGAAGCAGATGGCAGAGCTCCGACAGGGAAGTGGGAGGGCAGGGCTGTCTCAGTCGCTGCTGCACACACGTTAACACAGTCCTGCCCACGGCAGCTGCTCAGAAAATGTGGATGAAACACTGATGCGGAGACGGTCGCTCAGTGAGACCGGGGTGACCCTGGTCTGGGACTTGGAGCCTCATGAGAAACCCTGGCTTGATTACTTTAGCCGAGAGAAATGGCTGACCACAGTGCCTTCATGTCTGGCCATGTTCACACCCGTCCCTCACAGGCCGACAGCCCTGCACGCTTTCAGTTTAAACGCTTAGAGGAAGTCGGGAGACCTTCGTGGGGTCAAACGTGAAGAGCCACAGAGCTCACGTCAAACCCCTGCAGTCTCTTACTAACAAGCAGTGCAAGTGTGAAACATCTCCCCCGCACACAATCCCCAGCCTCGCTCCCAAGAGCCGCGTGACGAGACCGAGGGGCCGCGACTCGGGGACGACACGCGCGGCTCCTGCAGCTCACACGGCTGGGGGCTCCGGGGCTCCTGCAGCTCATGGGGCTCAGGGGGCTCCCGGGCTCCTGCAGCTCACGGGGCTCAGGGGGCTCCGGGGCTCCTGCAGCTCACGGTGCTAGGGGCTGTCTTACCGCAGGTGGGCACGTCCTCCTCGGCGGAGGAGGTCTGCTCGTCGGTCGACGGCTTTTTCTTTCCTAAACCGATGATCTTGGTGATTTTCTTCCCAGTGACTTTAGATACAGTCCCCTTGCCCTCTGATTTGGAACTTTTTTTCCTCTTGACTGTCAAAAATAACGACAACACAAAAGCATGTTAAGTTATAGACCTTACACTGAAAGACAGTGAAACACAGCATACGCCACAGCCATTGACTTGCCCCCAGTCTTACTCATGGAGCACCCGCTGTAGGCCGCCGTCGGGGCCTGGCTTACACCATCGGAGTGCGGGCTCAGTGAGGCACCAGTGAGTCACACCGATGAACTCCTCCCGTGTGCCCTGCTCGCTGGGACACGCGAAGCTGCCACGGGACTGCTGTCAAGACCTCAGCGCCCCGTGCTCGATCGGCGGCGGCACCAGCAGGGTAGTCACGAATCACCCAGAATCGTGGTGCACTGGCGCGTTACGTGGGGCATATCCTTCCCCTTGAACGCAGGAGCAGGAGCGACAGTCACCCCGTGGCTGGACAGCAGGGGCTGGCCCGCTGCCATGCGATCGAGGGGTAACGGAGAGGAGCTGTCTGCGTCGTGGCTTCCTCGGCAGCCAGCATCTGTCTGGTCACGGAGGGCTGAACGAAGGGACCTGCCTGAACCTCAGCGCACACAGTCCAGAGTGAGCCGCCGAGCGGAAGGGAGGAGAGAAGGTCAAGTGCAGCTTAACCATTAAATTCCTGCAGGACCTACTCACCGAGTGTCTGCAATATACAAAGCAACGCGACAGGCAAAACAGTGTTTAAACCAACGGCACCTTGTCAAAATATGGAAGGCTGCTCTGCTTTAAAGAGCCCAGGGGAATGCTGGGTAGGGATACATTCACTCCCATGCACAGCGAGACGCACTCACTCCGCAGAGGCCACTGTGAGGGACCTGGGAGAAGCAGCCGTGGCGTGGGCTGCCTGGGCATCCAGGCGGGAACCTGAGATTGTACGTTGGTCTCCTCCAGGGCAAACCTCAAAGATAGGTTTCCCAGCTGTGATTACACATAATGTGGCCTGTGGACGACAGAGAACGCCTCCCACCGAGTAACTTCCGACGCAGAGGACGAAAATTACACCCAGTCGCGTCTGGCAGAAAATCACACGGCAGAGCAGAGGCCATGCCTCTGACTGACCCTGGTCACATCACCACAGCCCAGAAGACTGGGTTCCGAGACCCAGCGGCCGGCTTGCTGTCTGGTTGCAGGTGACGGCATCTGCCTCTAGCGGCGGGTGCAGGGGGGCAGTGGGCAGAGGCTCCCCTGGGAGCCAGGTCCCGGGGCAGGCAGAGGCTGCAGGCTTCCACGGGGAAGACTCCCTGCCCCACAGACCCCCTCCTCTCAGCCCAGCCCCCACGCTGGGGAGGACACCACGTAGTGGGAAGGGCTTGTCTTCAGAAGCTCTAAGGAGCTCTCAGACCTCAGTCACAAGAACAAACAACTCAATGAAAATACGGGCAGAGGATGTGAATAGACTTTTCACCAAAGAGGACGCCTGGATGGCAAACAAGCTCGTTAGACTTGGTCAGCGTTGTTGGTCATGGGCAGAGGCACGGTAAAGCCGGCTGCACGGCGCGCACAGCTATTCAAATGGCCAACGCAGAGACCAGCACGACAGAGCACCACCCAGGCTAGTGAGCGGCACGTGGCCAAGCACCCTGCTCTCAGGTATTAACTGGGAGAAAGGAAAACGTGTCCACAGCAGCTTCGCTCCCATGGTGCCGAGCTGCCAGCAACCAGCCCTCTCCCGTGGGTGCGGGTGAGCCGGCCGTGCCGCGTCTGCGCTGACCTCCTGCTCGGACCCTGAGTACCTGCACGTGGGGCTCCCCAATGCCTGAGGCTGAGTCAGAGAAGCCAGACCGAAAAGCTCGGCTGTGGACTCCACGCACAAGACGTGCTGAGGAAGGACAGAACACAGACCTGCAGCTGCCAGGAGCAGGGGCGGGGGGACAGAGGAGCACAGGGACACCTGGGGTCAAAACTGCTCCATGTCTCGACGGTGCGGATGGTGACCCACCAGTATGTGTTCATCAAAACGCAAAGAACTGTATGCCCACAAGGTGCCGTCACCGCGTGTGACGCACACGCCACAGGGCCGGCTTCAGCATGTGCACCCAGGTTCACACAGCATCATCCGCAGCAGCCAAGGGTGGGAACACAGATGCCCCTCCACAGATGAATGACGGCAGAATGTGGTGCGTAGCACAACGGACTATTGCTCAGCCTCAGAGAGGAAGGGGATCCTGACACCGGCTACCTGGGCGGACCTGAGGGCATCGCGGTGAGCAAGGTGAGCCAGCCACAGGGCAAGCTCTGTGGTTCCATGATGCGAGGTCCCTAAGGAGTCAGACCCACAGGGACAGCGGGCGCCCCAGGCACCGTGGGAGTGGCTGCAGGCCTGGAGAACGGGGAGGGCGGGAGTGTTTAATGGGGACAGTTGCAGTCTGGGAAGATGGAAGGTTCTGGAGAGGATGGTGAGCCGGCGGCACAGCAATGCGAATGTGCCTAAGCCACTGGACTGGGCACTTAACAATGGTCAGGGGGTAAATTTTTGTTATGTGTATTTTACCACAATTTAAAATCATTTCTTTAAATGCAAGTAAAATACATCTGCAGAAATTTTTTTTAAAAGGGACTTCAGAAACCTGCACGTCTGGCCTCCTCATTTGAAAGATGGGGAGCGGAACTCATCAGGGAAACGGTCCCGATGGGGCTGAGGCTGCCGCGGGGTGGGCACGTGGCTCCGCTCATCACCCAAAGCCCTTCCCGGAGGATCACTTCCCGGGACAAACCACGTGAGGAAATGCCTGCTGAGCCACCAATTTAAACTCCCGCCGGGCACCGTCGGGCCACAGGAACCCTGGCCCGGCCGCAGGCACCGGAGCCTCAGAGGGCTCCTGCTCCCCAGAGGGCCTTCTAGGATCGGTCAGTGCGACCAGGACGGTGACAGGCGCGTGACCGAACCTCCAAGGAGACGTGCCCGCAGCCAGAGTTCGCAGAACGGGCCGCAGTGTTTCGGATTCTGGTTTCTGTTTCGGGCAGAACTCACCTTGTTCTTTCCCGTTACACACGGCGACTCCATTCTCCACGACACCCTCCCCGTCCGAGCTTGGTCTCTCCGAGGACAGTTTCTGCAAGGAAGAGGAGGACGGGGTTATTCTCACAATGTCGCATGGGCCAAGTGACGTCATGGATCGATCCAAAGTGATCTCAGAGCGGAAAGAACGTGGGCCGGATTCCCAGCGATCCAGGACAGCTAGGGCTCAACGGCCGCACGGACCAGCTGGGTGCCTGTTATCAAAAGCTTGACAGACACCAAAAGAGCAAAGAGAAAAGCCACCGAGGTAACCAGCACGTGCTACAGTGCCTGACATTCATTCACCTCCCTCTCTCTCAGTAATTAAAAAAAGTTAGGGCTACAGAAAACTCCCCTCACCAAACCAATTATGCTTCCAGAAATAAACACTGCGTCGCCCACTTAATTTCCTCCCATGAATAATGGGCAAGTGTCAAGTGTCTGTGACAAATATGCTCAGAGGATGCACAGTCGGGCGCTGTCAAACCCTCAGGGGCACCGGAGGACTTGCCCGGTGGGTCCAGCACCTGACGTCAGGGCACAGTCAGGACTGTCACTTGGCATCTGAAGCAGAGGCACGTGGGGGCGGCAGGAGAGGGTCAGGGGACATGGTGACGGAAGGAGACGGGGCTCCGGGTGGTGAGCACACAATACAACATGCAGATGATGCATATAGAGTTGTACGCCTAGAACCTATACGATTGTATTAACCAATGTCACCCCAATAAATTCAATAGAAATTTAAAAAGCAGCAGCACTGTTGAGAGCTGGAACCCCTGCATTCCAACCGGAGGAGCTGTGGAGTCACAGTGGGGGGCACAGGCTTCAGCCCTCCCCGACCCCCTGCACTGTCCCCCATGCCACAGAGACTGCCAGCCACAGGCGGATGCCGGGGCACGGCACGCGCACGCCACCTCAGGAGAGGGCCGGGCTGCGCTGGCCCAGGACGGCAGACGGTGTCAGCATCGCGCCGCGGTGCTGTGACAGCCACGGGAAGGAGCCAGTGGTATCCTGTGGGAACCTGGTGTGTGCCGACCGCCAGTGACAGGGCGGATGAGAGCTGGCGCTGCCCAGCTCCCAGGCCGGGAAGTGCTCCTGGGAACCAGGTCAGCAGGTCTGGGCGGGCACAGCACAGCCTCAGAAACCACGCTAAGTGAAGGGTGCCACCGGTCCCGTGGGAGTGGGTGAGAGAGAAACCCTGATGCACGCTGATGGGAAGTGAAACCGGACCAGCCTTTCTGGATGGCTATTCGCTTAGCAACACGAGTCAAATCTTAAAATCAATCCTCCCCTTTGGTCTGGTAGCCTAGCTTCTAGGGGTCTATTTTCAGGTAACAGAGCAGCAGCAAAGACTTACAAAACGATGCCAGTTATTTTAAATGGCCAACAATAAGGAGTTAAATTTGAAAGGGGGGGGGCGTAATATGATAGTAGAGTCATATGATTTCATATTATTCAGCTGCTAAAAGTGCAAAAACGGTTGTTGCTTGTTATTAGTTTTCAAAAGCCTGGAAAATTGGTAATAACATAAAGGTAAGGAAAAAAAGGGCAGCATAACATGTTTATGCATCAGAATATCTAAACTATAAAAGAAACATGTGAGCAGGAAAAGCTGGTTAAAAAAATGCCATGTTGAGAGGAGCTGCATCCCCTGTGTGGTGGGTTCATGGGTGACCGTATCCCTGCTATTTGTGTTTCTCTGAACTGCTTGAATTTTCCATAGCAAGCAGGATGAGGGCTGTGATAGGGTTAATTTTGTGTGTCAACTTGGAGGGTGTTTTTGGATGAGACTGATTTGTTGTTTTTGTTAATCCTCACCCCAGAATATTTTTTTCCATTGATTTTAAAGCAAGTGGAAGGGAGGGAGGGAGAGGGAGAGAAATAGAGAAACATCGACATGAGAGAGACACATCCATCGGTTGCCCTCTGGATGCACCCCAATAGGGCCAGGGACTAAATCTGCCACTCAGGTATGTGTCCTTGACTGGGACTCAAATCCATGACCCATCAGTATGCAGACCAACACTAACCACTTAGCTCACCAGCCAGGGCTAACATTTAAATCCGTGAACGCTGAGTAACGCAGATGGTGCTCCCTACTGTGGGGGCCTCACCTCGTTGGCTGAAGGCCTGCATACCACTAAAAGGCCAGTCTCCTGAGCAAGGGAGAATTCTGCCAATGGCCTTCAGACTTCACCTGCTGGCCTACGCAGCAGACTTTGAACTTGCCATCCTCCATAATCACATGAGCCAATTCCTCACGATAAATCTTACACATAAAAAATTCCTTATGTAAATCATATATAAATACACACACATGCACATATACATAAGTACAAACACGTACATGCACACACACACCACTAGTTGTTTCCTGGAGAACCCTGACTAAGTAAGAAGGGACACGAAGGCTCTGTTCACGCAGGGGCTACACAGGGAGGCCTCGGAGTCCCTGGGCCACAGCCACCTACAGGAGCTGCGTGCAGGAAGCCCGGGGTCTCCATGGAGAGGAGATCTGTGTAGGGACAATCAGAGCGAGCTGGGTGTGTGGCATGACAGTGACAGGTTCACACTTTTCTGACAAGAAGGCCTGGCCCTGCCCCGCTGCGGGGCTGTCACTGGGCCCTTCTACAAGGAACATGGGCACAGAGCGGAGGCCACAGGGAACGCAGCCTGGCCTACTGGGATACAGCTTGGGGAGGGGCACTCGGGCAGTGCCTGCTGTATTCCGGGATATAGACCTGAGTTCAGATTCCACGCTGCCACGTGACAGCCGGGTGACCTTGAACAAGGCCCTAACAGCTCCCACCCACTTCTTCACCGCGCAGCCTGTGACGGC